AAGGTAAACATATAATTTTATATCGTCGTGCTTTGTACACATATCAAGAAAGAAAACGCGTTTTACAGTTTCATCCGAGATATTGGCAGGTGTAGGGAAATAGCCGTAACTAGTATTGATTGGAAAGTACCATTACAAATAGGCGTATTGATTTTATGGAAACATAATTGGACCAAATTGGTTTTTATGTTTGTGCTTTATAACATTCCAATATTGCACGCGTTCTCCATTTTTTATTGATTATTTGATTACCCTATTCAACAGTTTCAGTAATGGGTAATGTTCGTGCAATAATCGACAAATCGGCTATAAATTTTGCATTACAATAAACGGGGTACCACAAAAGCTGGATGGTTATTTTTATGGAAATTTGTAGATTTTCTCAACAATATTCTATGAAAGTTTGATACAATTCGTGGCTGTCACGATTTTAGCAACAATTTAGAGAATTTTATGACGACACTGTTTTCTATGGAAGACTCAAGAAATTTGCTTTATAATATTTCCGAATATATTGTAAACCTGTTTACTTAATGTATTTAATTTTTAAGATAAAGTCAATTAAACTGTGAATTTTTTGTTAACTCCTGCCTTATTTTATAGAAAATTAAGCATGAAATTGATTTTGTTTCTTTTTCTACTCAGAAAATTAAACATCGTAGGAATAAGATTTTTCATTAAAATATTATGTTCGTAGAAGGAAAGTATTATGCAAAGAGGAAACATTCAACTAGAATTGACACTTATTATTACCTTTGTTGTAATTATAAAATCGTTTCGGTTTTTATTAAAACTGCATTTCAGCGTAAATTGCCGCCCATTAACTTTTATTACACTATTCCATTTGTACTACCTGTTCCTGCTAAGATGACGAAAATGTTCATACTTTTTTCCTACTAATGAAATGTATGAAAAATGTATGTAGTCGCCTCAATCTACCCCCTTTATGATACATCTGATTTATAGAAAATATGATTTATTATTTTATAATGATTTTCAGTAGGACTGTATTTAAAAATCAGTCCACGTGGCTTAGTTGACGCCCAAAGCTTCTTATCACTGTTATCTATTTTACCAAAATACCAGAAAATGCCAAATGCGTACGACTTTTGTAGGATGGATGTGTTTTAATACCAAGCTGCACTGGCATCAATCAATTGCTGCTTCTCAAGTTTTAGAAAATTACTTTCTGGTCTAGTGCTAAATTAAAAGTCGAAGATTTATTTTAATTTGTTAGTTAAGATTTCTCTGTCGTTATATCTTCAACTGAACTATTAAAACGTCAAGCAGACAGTTTGTTTTATTACATTTGCCCAGATTAGTGGATGTTATACGACGTGGATTATAAGGGAGCAGCTTAATTTTCTGCAATCAATCGATATATTTTTTTAAGAATTCGACCTTGACTGGATGTCCTTATCAATTATGGAGTGATAAGCGAGTATGATCAACGCTGTACAGATAAAGCTATTTAAATTTAAAGGGTTTAGGAATTGTAACCGTACCTAAATACATAGGATTTATGTGTTCTAAGTGATATTAGAGCTGGGTTTGAGTTTATAAAATAGTGAGTTAGTTTTAGTAGGGTGTCCGCCTTCGAAAGAAGAAGAAGCGATATTTTTTGGGATTAGTCCCGTTTTTCTTTTATCAGTTTTTAAGTGTTTTGTGGTACCAGCGGACAAGTAAGTCTGTGCTTGCTACTTGTTTACTGTTTATAAAATGTCATTGTGGTTTTTTTGAGTTGAAAATTTTGATTTATTTTTAAATGTATCTGTTAAACATGACCATTATATAAATTTTTATAGATTCGCCGAAAGATCTTGCCAATGTTTTAATTTATAGTTAACCTGGAAATGCAGGTTATTAAATCCTTATGTTTACGTTAATCAAAACATATTAGTAAGAATTTTAGTTTTAATTGTACATCTTTGTCAGGAAATGTAACGGGAAAACCACTCGGAAAATCCTGTTTAATGGCGCCTATAAAAGATATTTATAAACGAACTCCATATTTTTAGATTAAGATAAAGTTTATCGATTCTCTAACAAAGGATAGTAGAATATTTCTACTTTGTTGTGCCATTTTAAATAATAATGTCAAGGAAAAAGTTATATGTGTCTTATAAGGATGTTCACTTGGTTTTTCAACTTTTAAATACCGATAAATGAAATCAAGACAATAGATTTTTGTCAGAAATTGATATACCTTGTCGTGTGTCGTACATAGAAACTCCTTCAAAGAAAACTTATTTACAGACTAAAAAAACACGCATGTAAAAACTACACGTAAAAACTGTGAGCGTAAAATTCTGTTCCAACGAGCACCGTATATTTCTACAATTCTACGTTTAAGATTCTGTTCATAATTTGACACACCTCTTTGCTCCTGTTTTCGTATCTGCGGTGTCACATTTACGTTATCAATTCAACCGGATACAAAGTTTAAAATTACAACGAGTCGCCAGACACAAGCGTGTTTTAACGAGACTTTATAATTAGTACAGCTTGGTAGATCCCTCCGTTTAATATTCGTGACATCATAACAATTATTATTCCGGTAATAGCTTTTTTTGTAACATTTACGCAAGCCCCATTCGACGAACGTTCGTGACATAAAATCCACAATTATTGTAGTGCTATAAAAAACTCAAATATTAAGCTTTTATGTATTTAGTTTCACCAGAGGAATAGTTGTTTAAAAATTAGTGATAAAATAAATAGTTACCTTAATTTGACTCACGACTTCTCGAGAAGTGTTAAATTTAGCATTGTTTATGCGGTATTTACCCGAAATAAAGTGAAATGGGACTTTCCATCTGTAGATATTAACCGCAGTAATCAATAAGGTCAGAGAAAACAAAAGTTACCCATTTTTTATTGTTCTACGACATCTCTTTCCCAAGGGACACCCTGTATTAAAAAATTTTATTAAAGTATTTTTTTTTTAGTTTTTTTTCTAGAGCAAAGCTAAAAAGAGTGTTTCCAGTTTTTTCCGAATTATTAAATCGCGAGACACTGAGACTTTGGGGATATCCTGATTAAATAATAAACCCGTATTCTTCAACATCCGCACCTCGATCCGTTGGTATTGCACATATTGCAGCAGCGCCTGGCGTTATTGACCCAAATGATATTTGCCAACAAGCAATTCTTCTACAATCTACGACACGTCTAAATATCGTACCTGCCGATAACTTGTTTTGTTATTAGATCGAATCGGTGTTCTTTCGGGGAACATTAACAAATAGAGCCATAAAAATAATCACGCAATGTAAACATGTGGAAATAACTTGATTGCTTAGCAAAACATTCCCCCGATTTAACATTGTTACCTGTGACTAATATTGTATTAATATTTTAATGACAAAACACGCGCTGCCTACAAATATTCCATACACTGAGAGAACAGAGAACTGCTGTTGTGTGTCAATTTAAACGCTGTTATCGTGAAGGATATTCAATTAAAAGTCTACGTACTTAAGTATTAGTATTTCGTTTTTATTATCAAGCAAATCAAGCTGCAGATGGTTAATAAAATACATAATTATTCACGTGAAAGCTATTAGAAATACAAACAAAAATAAATAACTGAAGTTTTAGACATTTCTCTAAATATATTGCTTCGATTTATTAAGTCAAAATGTGAAACAGGTTAAGACTGGTTCTAGTTTAAACACTGACTGCGAGCCCTTCCTATAGACATTTTTTTTATGTACCCACCTACTTATATTGGAACGTTGTTTACTCATACGAACGTGAGTAAAACATAAAAATTAATTATAACTTTACTGTTTGTTTGGAGAGCGTGTATAGCCGTTGAATCATGAAAATACATAAATGATACTTGTTTCTTTTATTTATGTTTCTTTTCCATGAACGAATTCCAAGTGACGACTGAGCGAACTACCCGGTATCTAAGCTGTCGCGATCGACATCCTTAACAGATGGTCGTCAATTATGAGTACATAGCATTACGAGCCATTCATTATTGGAAATCTCATGTTGACGGCAACGGCGCGGTCTGCGTTACAGGCCGGAGTGTAATCCGTGGAAAAGGTGTGGGGGGGGGGATGCTAGAAAATGCTTTTACGTTGTTGTTTTTAATGAAATACTACTTTTGAATGTTTTAAGCATTTCTTTTAAACAATACTAATTATTCTAAAAAGAAAAAATAAAGAAGAGGGGGGAATATACCACATTTATATAAACAGTAAATGATACGTTGTCTTTTATATGGAGGTTTTGTAATGTCTAAAATAATAGAAGCAATTTCAGAGAAAAACTAATCATTTTTTGAGATAAATAAAGCAAACAAGTGTTCTAAATGTTCATTAGATAAACTTGGATGTTAATCACTAGAACTCCGTTTATACGAAGAATGTATATTTCACTTAATTGTTTTTTGTGCTGGGTATTTCTACATTCCACAACACTGTTACTGATAAAACATTTATTGCTTTCACCATCGCAGGTGAAGACAGACGAGGCAAAGATATTAGAAGTAAACGTCTCTTTCATGTATTTAGAAATAAATGGCGCCATTATTTCTCTATTGACTCATATACAGAAATTTTCTCGAATATATTTCGTTGTATTTTAAACTGTATTTTAGTAAAAAAATGTTTTTGTGGAACGAGTTATTTTCGATTTACTTACACGTGTTGTGGTAGCTCACTTTAATTTTAAATTAAAATCAGAACCTTCAAACGGCTTCATTTACAAGCAACATGTAAGAAATATTCCAATACCTCGAATACGAAACTTTTTGCTTAAAATAATTTGATCCTACACCTGGTGAGGTTTCGCTCTTGAAACCTGAAGCACCCTGTATATTTTAAATGAAAAAAAATTGTATGTTGAACATTGCTGCTCTCCGGCCTGGAACGCAGGCCGCCAGATTCATCCCCGCGGTCATAAAACAAATTTAAATCGATCGCGAACAATACACGCTCTTCCTCAACTCCTAGCCATTAAATGACGCCGTACATTTCTTTTTCCAGATCTCTTCTTCGTCGATTAACTCCGCAAGACGGGTTCATCCGTGCCCTCCCGCTTTCTCTCCAGGAGGGCCCTCGAGAGGGTCGACACGTCGGACTTGGGGTACCCCATGTTCTTTCAGGTGCTCTTCGCCATCACCCGTCTAGGAAGATCGCCTAGGAAAAAATCTGACGGCTTCCCGTCGCCGTAGTTTTGCCGGGCGCCAGCGCGTACTGTGACAATCTCGTTGTTTTAAGTACTTGTTGTTTTTTTGATACTTTTTTTTGAGTTTGTACTGAGTGTCTTTGAACTCGGCGTCCAAGATGAGCGACTCCGTCAAGAAGACCAACCTGAGGAAGCTGTCCTTCCTGGGGTTCCAGGACCGAAAGGCCAAGGTAAGATTTTTTCAATGTATCGAATAAATTGATCGATGCGAAGCTTCAAATCAGAGGCAGACTAATCTAACATTTCCGATCTCTATTAATAATAATTGCAACAAAAGTATTACTTCTTTGTATCCTTGCCTACTCTGTATGTGTTGCAATTTTGTGTTAAAAAAAGCAAACAAAAAACTTTTTAATTCATGCAACTATTTAATAATTAGAATTACAAAATGGAACAATGTCCAAATAAATTAGGTGCTATTTTTCGCCGAGATAATGAAAAACCTACAATACATATCAATTAAATAGTCTGTATATTACTCAAGGAAGCAAGGGGATTCTGATGACTCATGCATGACTGCTGACCTCCATATCCATTGTCTCTCTTTTTTCGCCCCATTCAACGCAGTCATGTGCTTACACGTCATCATCGAAACACATGGTGGGCCAAATTCAGTGAGATTAGAGTGATCACTCTGAGAGTGATTGGAATTGGGAGACCTAATCAGTTTTTTTCGGTGTCCCACAGTTTTCAACATAACCCCACTGAATTTTGTCCACCCTGTACCATTTAAATTAACGAAAAGTTAACTGTTCACTTTACACAGATATATCTCAATGGAACACATTCAATTATAGTGTTATTGAAATCAATCCATTTGGACTAATTTTTTAGATCTTTGCTTTGATTGAACTGTTTGTATTAAGAATAAGAACAATGGGACGTTTCGGACAACGCTGTTCTGAAGCTTGTCGTTTATTTATTAGCAAACAATGGTGTCGATAATGCGCATATGTTTATAAATAAATCTATTGATTTTAAATCTGTACGACTTAAATAATCATTGATTTAGCTTGATTGTTTAAAAATAATAGAGCTTGAACTCAAGTGACTTCCATTGCATTAAGATCCTTATGTTTGTTTTGTTATATTTTTAATATTTTATCACGAGGGGTGATTATATAGCTTTAAAATGGGTTTTTTTTAGAGGCTTTATAGTGTAAGCGAATGAGTAATTGTTTTCGTAAAATATCATCCAGATGAAAACAGTAGATAGGCTATTAACATTTTCATTTGATTATAAAAATTACCTTTATTTAAAATATTTAAATCTTTATGTGCAGAATTAATTAATAATTAATTTCGATTATGTTGGTATACCTCGAATTTACTGGGTTTCGATTAAAATATATTTGGTAATTCTGCGGCTAAATTTAGATGTTAATTAGAGTAAAAAATAAATTGGTTCCGAATGCTACCAAGTGTAATACTTTATCAACATTAGCAAAAAACTTACAATAATAGATAATAAGTTGCGAATGTTACAGCGATTGTTATTTTAGCAATTTTCAGAAAGAAATAATTTAGGACTTAATTTCCGAATAATAAATACACAATATTCAATAACAAAATTGGATTAGATTACATAAGTAATCTATCATAAAACTATATAGTTTTATTACAAATTATTTCTAGTGACTACTGTTCTATAATATACTTCTCTGTGAATATTGAAACTGTTGCCTAAAAATGTCGACCTCTTTATAATTTTTTAAACAGCATACTTATATTGTTTCTAGATTTAAACTTGCTTCATCTATGTATGTTATCGTATTACAGCTATTAGAACAAATATGTGGAAATTAATTTATACGTCATTTTTTATTTGCAAACAATGGACATCGATAAAGCGATTATTATTTCAAAAAAAAATGTTCCAAATAGATAGTGCTAGGTTAAATAAAAACTGACAATGAGAGTTAAATATTTCAGTCTAGTAGTTATTTTGTGATGGGGATTTATGCATTTATTTCCTTTCGGACACTAACATCAAGAATACCAGCAGTAACCTAGAGGACTTAAGTCGGGTGATCCAGGGGGCAACGATTGTTTGGGTTGAACTATGCCTCTACCTATCTACAAATTTTAATACACTTCGTATATTCTCGAGTTACTAAACTAAAATGAAGTGCTCCGTCATGCATAAATAATAAACGTTATCGCAGATTAAGTGGTACAACATCAAGAGAAACCGGCAATTGATTTTCAATAATATTGGAGTATATTGCCATCTAATCTTAATGGTTTCATGAGAGCTGATATTGATAATTAACTTCTCTTGTTGCGTCCATTGATGGTTGTTGTGAAAATTTTGTACGGAGTTAGATGAGAAATTTGCTGCAAAAAAAAAATTATTGCTGTATATGTACAGTTGGTTTGTCCGTAGATTTTCCTTTGCAGACGCAGTGTTTGGTTTCAAATCGTTTGACAGTGGCACATTTCCGGTTTAAGAAAGTGTCATAATCATAAAAAATGTTCAGTATGTCGTGAAAAAGCTGTTATTAAATTACCTGAACTTGCATTTTTATTTCATACATCGAAGTAATTGTTTCAATTACCGTCAAATTTTTGTCGTTTTCCTGAGAGTTTTTGATTTTCTACATACAGTTTAAAAATAACTAAATATTTTTGTTTATCGTCAACTTTTTCTCTTAGCGGTGGTAGAATAGTAAATTTTGAAAATCTACTCCGATTTAACAGGGAGATTAAGAGCGTCTGCTTAAAACCTTCTGAGCTCACCAAATTGATAGGTCGACTTAATTGAGACCAGATTGAATACCTCTGGTGGCTCATCGGAATCGCATTATGGAAAACAGGTATTAAATTCGGCTATGGGCGTAGAGGAAAAAAAATAAGCGCACTTACACACGTAACATATTAAATATATTACCGTATTATCGAAGGATTAAGTGGATATATGAGCTCAGTATTTAATAATTTCAAATGACATTTTAATTGGCCTCAGATATTACTACCAATTTATGATAATCGGTGATAAGGTGCTCCTAGGATCCGATGGGACGTCTTAATGACTTATTATTAGTACCAAATTAGTGTTACAACTATCTGGCCTAATTTTTTTTCTTCGGATTCGGTAATCTCGGTTAGATGAACATTTTGGAGTGATATATGTGTCTTGTATTGGATTTGAGTTTCAGTGAAACAGGATGACTACGCCCAAAGATAAAGTTACCGAATCTACCGGATTGCTGGTAAAAGACTTTCACTTTTTTTTCAAATTTCTCACCTAGATTTTATCAATTTTTACAGTATTTACCTGAAATATGATCAAATCATAGTAAATGATTGAACTGGGAAATTGATTTTTCTATATTCAGATCGTAAGTGAATATTTTCCAAAAACTTCAACATTTAATCTATCACCAGTACATTATTTACATATCTTTAATTGTAGTTAAAATAAAATATCAATTTTTTTATAAAGAAAAGTAAGTACTGGAAAAATTCTGCCTATGCCAGATTTATTAGCCCGTATTTTGTTCTTCGTTGAGTCGAAATTGATACAGACATTAATATTTTGCGTACACATAATTTATTGTTCTGAGAAACTATTTTTGATAATATTTTGTGGTCTCATAAGAAAAATCTGGAATCAAACAGAAAATCAAAGTGAGTCTAATTGTAAGATATTGAAGATTTGCAAAAAAAAAAATACATTTTACCGTATCATGTACAGAAATGCCACATTACTGGTATATAAAATCGACTTTCCTTTCAATGCTTATTAGATTTTATGGGTTTGTAATCAAGACAGATCTTGTTTCACAAAGAAAAACAAGGCTCAATCCAAGAAGTTCATTTTTCAATAATTGGTTCGTTGCACTATTTACATATGTTACAAAATTCAAAGTAAATTCTTGAATAGGACATACTAAATTAAGTAAACAGTTTGAGACAACGATCTTATTTCCTATTTTCCCCATAAGTAAAGCTTTTCTACTTAAGAAAAGTATATAAATAAAATTTATTACTGAAGCCCAATATACCAGTGTTTCCAACACAACAACGTTCAAAATTTCTGTATACATCTTTGGACCTACTTGTTAGTTATTTTTAATGCATAAAATGACTTATACAATCACGGAAAATTCACGGTTCCGCATCTATCTGCTATTTTTGTTTCACTTTGCACCAATTGACGTTCGTCTCATTCTAAGGTACTTTCCAAATCACTTCTAGCTTTAAATTGAACTGTATAACAACTTACGTATTTATTAGGACCTACTCGAAACTGTGTCGGCATTATTTGTAAACAATTTTGTAATAACCCTATAGCAGTCAACAAAATACTATAAATAAATTGGTAATTATATTTATGAGGAATTAATGTATTTTTAATTGACAAAAACACACATTTATGTTTTTAGCTATTGGAATCCTTGTTGTTTTCATAAAAATACATAGAATGTTGTATTGTTTGTTTTTTATACGTGTTTTAAGAACTCTTTGAGACTTTTTAAATTGACCGCTACCGATTTTTCAAGTATACTTACTTCTTGTATTGGAAAAATAGTCGATGTTTTCCGTAGAAAACCATGGCTGTCACTTGACAGTTTCTTATCGAGCGGATTAAGATATTTTTTGGGCAACAATAATTATGGTTAAGCTTAATAACCAAATCAACCTTGAATCTTTAATAAATCGATATTAGAGCTTAGTAAAACTGTCTATTAATCTTTTAGAAAAGTTTATTACTTTAATTATCTTAAACGGTTGCTTATGAAAATGTTGTAAAATACAATTTTGTAATAATCAGAAAATAATAGAGCTATAATCAAATAATAATTAAAAAAATAAACTTTTATGGATTATTGCGGTATTTGTGAACCAACGTGTTATAAAATTCGTCCATCTCGTTCGCCCGATTTAGCTCTGCCTGCGTTCCCAAATTTTTTGCCTTCATGTGGTTAATTGTTATTTATTGAAACAAAGTACCTCACATTCGTCCCATAATTTCTAAATTGACTTTCGTGACCGCTTCGCTCAAAGCAGCATAATAACCACATTAATTTATATATTTATACCACTCCTTATACGAGTACTAACCCTACCATTATATATCACTTTGTCATGGTGGTTATTTTTCAACTATACAACTCGTTCATCATAGAGCGAAGCGCCGTTATCGACATTCGACTACACATGCCCA